AATATAATATAATATAATATAATATAATATAATATAATATAATATAATATAATATAAATTTCATTATGAACACATTTCTCACCTGATCTTCTTCACCACCACCTTCTTCATCGTATTTCAGAATATTGTCTCTCACATCATCTTCTGGATCTATGAGTAACTGCTTGGCCTGACGTTCTTTATCACGGCGTTTCATCCAAACCACAAACATTAGAACTAGAACTAGATCAAGTGCAGAAGAAGGGGGGAGCTTTACTTGTTCCTCCTTATATTGTTATTTTTAAAAATACATGAAATGAGCACATTCAGTACTTATCTGTTCTGGAATTTATCTGCTTCAACTTGCAACTAAAAAAGGGAAGAAGCAGTAAATTCCCTGCTGGTACATTCCGTTACACTATATAGGATGTACAGAAGCTGGAGACTTCCAAACCTGATCCATTATAAAGGTAACATTAAAGAAGAAGCTGTACACTGAAACTGTACCATGGGGGGGAGGGCAATCAAATGTTTAGAATTTCTTCAGAAGAAAAGCCACTGTGCATATCAAATCAGTTCAGGAGCAATAGCAGGTATAGAATGCAACCATCTAGTTTTTGTTAGACTTCCCTCCTTACAGTCCAGAATGGAAATACTTAATCCAAAGAATGAGAATCTAAGAATTCTGACTACCAGTATATACTAGAAGACAAGCTAGGGTTACAGCACAAGAATTTCAGTGAGCACTGTGCTTTCAGATAAGACAGTTATATTTAGGCAATCTATGGCAGCAAAGTTCTTGTCTGCTTCCTTCTGCTTTTTCAATGTCAAGGGGGGGCAGGCTTGCCTCTTTGGTGAAAGCAGGGCAGTTTGCATTGGTTCAATGTTTTGGTAACTGCTATTCTCAGAGCTGTAAATTATGGTAAATTACATTAGATAAATTAGTGTACTTGAAAAAGACACTTTCCAGCCAAGCAAAATGGCTGTGCATACACAAGCATGCAGAGACAGCCAGAGTACCTTCTGAAAGCTCTCATGCAAACCTTGAAAAGACATCCTGATTTTAGTGCTTGGAAGGGTGCTTTCTGACCTGTGAGTCATGAATGCTTAACACAGCCAGATGTGATGGAATGGAATTATGAACGCCAGGCTCAGGGAGATAAGCATTTTCTTAGCTCGCCGCAAGAGTGTGGGAACTACAAGAGGATGAGACTGGCACCTCCCTGAGGAATTCACACTGTTGTGGCTGGGTGGCTTGGGGGCTGGGGGTTCTGTCTGGGGAGATTTTTGTTAGGGGTTGGAG